ACAATTCATACCTAAAAAATACAACTTTCAAAAATGACCGTACAGCAGTACATAAATACAAATAAATCCTTGATAAGTTTAAACCAGTAAAGAACTTTGATTACTGTTTGTAATAAGAAGGCTCTGTTCCGTAAAATAAGCAAGAGAAAAAAAAATTAAACTGGTATCCCTGTAGGAAGGGAAAAATGCAGTTTAAATGAAAAAACCATGGAATATATCTGTTCACTTTTTGAACAGATTTTGCCGACTCTAAACAGCGGTCAATTTAACAACATCAAAATAGTTAGCTGTAGCAGTCGTATATGCTTAAACCGCTGACAAAGGTTGAAACGGTTTTCAACCATTACAGAGATCACATTTTTACAGAACAATAACAGAGAGGGGGCGAGTGGGTGAATACAAAAGTGGTAAACACAGAAACGAATTCGGTGACATCTGCAAAATTTACCTTGTTTAGCAATGAATTTCTCCGAGATTCCCTGTCCATGAATATCATACATATATCGCCCGTACTATTAACCCTCGTATCTTCGTCTGTCATTTTCAACTTCGTAATTCAAAAAGCCAAAAAATGTTTTCCACAAATCTGCTCTCATTTCCACTTTATATTGCAGTCCCTGCTTCACTTCATCATTTTTTAAGCTTAATTTGCCATTTAATTTTGCTACCAACGTAACGACTCTTATAAAAAATAAATAAAAAAGCTCAAAAATCCTGAACCAAACTTTGCTTTAATTTTAATTTGCTTATTATTTCTCATAGTCTACAATATAATTCCAAATAATGCAAATAACAATAAGCTTCATTTTCAGGTGTAAATCATTGTTAATTTTAAAATTATTATTTATTGTCCTAATCGTATCCAATGATAAAATTTTCTCGATTAACAATTTTTTATCCCATCCAGCTTCTTTCATTTTTCAGTAACTGCGTAAAAATTCCGCCTTCGTTTAAGCCTCAAGTTCAAAAATTAAATCTACTAAGAAAAGCGATTTTGAAGACAGCTATAAAGACCAAAAGCTTAATTGAACTCATTAGATTGCTAGATTTAAATCTGATTCAAATTTGATTCTCTTTGAAAAATAATTTTTTGTCATTCAATGCCTTCTTTACGTTAAGCACACTTCAGACGTCTTAACAGTTTCTTCACAAGAAACCTTAATAATAACAATAAAAACTCACTTTTTCCCGACTTCTCAGAAGCCTTTTAATACCAGATTAATACTAGTAAATTGTATGCCCTATTAACAAGCTCCTATTCAACTAAGCAATAAAACTTTGTAAAGATTTAGTCATTAAAGCGTTAGAAATGCTCTAATTAAATTTACTGAAAATCATCAATACCAGTGTCGTATGCAACTTTTTAATAAAGACTATAGGTAAAACGCAATGAAAAAAACTAAGGTAACCTTAAGCTTTATAAAGCTCAGATAATAGCTGTTTATTTAATGACTATTGTACGATGTTTTCAAGCAACTAATGTGAACGGTAAAATTTATAAAAAATCGGACTTTGTCAACAAGTACTGGTCGAATTGAAGTTTGTTTACACAGCTTAACCAAAACCGGACAGGTCATTCAAATCACTGTACTAATAGTAGTAAAAATTACGATTTAGTTACTGTCTTTACTGTTTAAAATTAAACTTTAAAAGAACTCTGCTTTTGAGTTATATAAATTGCTAAGTGCAAAAAAAAAACCACTATATTTTTTGTTCCAGTAGCAATAATAAAGAAAAAAAAAAAAACCAATTTTTTTCTAAAAAAATTTTAAGGTTCATTGTGTCTGCAAAAGGTCTCATCTATGTACCGTACACAGTAGAGTCTACATAAGCTTATACAGTCATACGGCACTTCCTTCACTTGTAAAGTGACCATGTATGTTCAAAAAATTCTCTGCTTTCAGCCGATCGAAAAAGTAATTACAAAGGAAGACAAGTTTTCTGCTGAGAATGAATGTGGTGATTTGTAGTGCACTTAATTTAGCACTCTATATCGCAACTGTCAGCGCCTGTCTTCAAGTTAAGGTAAACAAGAAAATGTATTTTTTGAACGATGTAATAGGAAATTACGAAAACTTTAATTAACTGCTTTACTATGTTCGCTTGCAATATCTTTTCTAGAAACCGTGTTTATGTTCGTTCGTCAAAGAAGGCCTAGTAGAAGTAAAGTGCAAAAGAGCGGCTTCAATTGACATTATTATTCGTGCTCTACCCAAAACTCTATTGTATATCGACAGTTTAGCAATCTTTGATACCCCCATCCAGAAGGTCACCAAATAAACGCAGTTACCAAAAAGTGACTTCAGAAATAAACTATAAATTTTTGCATTCCTTTCTACTCCTTTCTTCTAAATTAATAAAATAAGAGGAGTATTTACCATAATCATTAAATCAAAAAATCACGTCGTACTGTCTCATAAAAGCCAATAAGATTGAAACAAAAGCCATATAAATATAAAAATTCAAAAAAGGAAAAAATCATTGAGCTATTCATTTCAGTTACCACCATACATTTTCAAAAGCTATATCATCAGAAAATTAATTTTGCAAAACAATGGAATGACCGATATTGATCCCAAAGCTTTCGACGGTAACGTAGATTCATTGGAAGAAGTGCAAATACGAGAAAACAAGCTTAAAAGAATCCCAGAAAATGGCTTTTCCAGCTTATGTAATCTGCTTACTGTGATCATCACAAACGATGAGATTGACCAAATTGACGATTATACATTCAGCAGTTGGTGCAGTAAAGAAACACTGCAAAAACTGGATCTGAGTGCTAATAAACTAACAACAGTTCCCCAGTATGGATTCGCTGGTCTTCAGTCATTGAAGCAACTTTCGTTGGATAAAAATCTATTTAGCAATATACCCGTCGAAGCGGTCAAACAACTCTCTTCGTTAGAAGAGCTATCGATGAGCGTCAACAAGATTTCAACAGTGCCACCCAGATCACTGCCTCTATCCAACTTGAAATCGTTAAGCTTTGAAGCGAATCAGGTAAATTATAAATGATGCTTCCAAATTCCAAGCGAAACAGTTAAGACAATATAATAAGTACAAAAAAGAAAAAATCCAAATACATGTAATGCAAAAAGCTCTTTCATCTTGCAAAAAATAAAATAATGCTACTTGTAGATTTCTTTCATCAGTGGCGACACATTCCTGGAAACTCCAAAGCTTATGCACCTGTATTTAGGTGGAAATCAATTCCGTACAATCGATCCAAAAATGTTTCAACATATTACTCACTTAAAGGTTTTGACAATGGGAAACAATCGAAATATACAGGCACTTTATGCAGACAGTAAGGACCATTAATTATAGAAAAACTAAAGAAGTGAAAATAATCTGACAACTCTTTCTCCCCTTTTTTCTAACCACTGTTAAATTAACCTTTACTAATAAAGACACTATTAACAGTTGCATTTACTAATCTAGTAAATAAAATAAAATAATTTCGTGACCATTTCTCTCCACGAAGTTATTGAATATTCTTATTTGCAGCATTCAGTTACGCTCAATCATTGATAAGACTAGAGTTAGCTGATTGTCTGATAACTCATATTGAAAGTGGAAGCCTACAAAAATTATCAAAACTTCAAGTTATCGTACTCAGAAACAACCAGCTAAAGCAGTAATTTATCAATCCGAATTATTATCAACTAAATAAACCATTATCTTTACCCACTCCCCTGATTCCTCACAGGAATGTTTTACAGCCAAACAAGCAACTGTCCAACGACCAGTGTTGCACTCTAAAAACGAATTCTTTTTCCGATATATTTATACAAAAAATTATTTGAGAATAAAAATTTTTCTTTTCAGCATTGATGGAACAACATTTTCTTCATTGCAAAAATTGGTCTCAGTTGACATCAGAGATAATAAGGTGATCTATTTCACTGCAACTTCTTCTTCCTTTTATCTCTTTCTCCTCACTTCATCAGTTTTGTACAAGAAAAATTTTGCTATATATGATCAAAGATAACATGCCTCAAATAAACGGTCTCAACAATTAATTCTTGTCCTAGAATCCACTGTCCCTTCGACAAATAATTTTAAAGTTACTGACTGAGAAAATGTTTTAGAGATCAAAAAGAGGAAAGAAAATGATAAAAATTAATACCTTAAAATTCTTCAGTCAGCAGAAAAAAAAAAGAGATATGAAAACCGAACTTTCAGATAGAATCACTAGATGATTTCACGTTCAGCAAACTACCGTCGCTAATGCACTTGGATATCAGCGGGAACAGGCTGCAGAGTTTACCAAAAAATATTTTCTACGATACATTTCGGTCAACGAATCCGTCAGTTGCACGAACACTCTATTTATACGGTAAATGTTACTTGTTACAGCTACAATGCAGTAGCAATTAAACAAAAAAGAAATTGGCAACCTTCTAAGCCCTAATTCACTTGCCTTCCTAAATTTGAAAGAAAAATGATGAAATACAGTGTCCTGCAGGAACAGCCAGCTGAGTAGTCAGAATTCCTGAGAATATTTCTTTCAAAATAGAAAATTCGTAAACAACAGGAATAAACAATGAATGTTTTTAACAATTTTAAAACTAAAAGAAAATAAAAAGGGTGAGACTGCTGTGTATTGCAGACAATCCATGGGCATGTAACGAAGATTTGCAATGGTTCCGCGAATGGTTACGTCACAATAACGATGTACTTATATCGGCTCCTGGCAAGAAACCAGCAAGGTAAATTAGGGCAAAATATTAGACATAAACATTTTACATGCTGACTGCAAACAAAAATCATTGAACCATTAATAAGTTAATTCTCAAATACAAAGTCCTAATAAAAAATAAGCTACAGCGTCGCTTAAATACTACTGCACTCACCAACTTCCTAGAAAAAACCTATAAAAATTTTAAAATGCTTCAGCTTTATAAGCAGCGTGAAGCTTCTTCGACAATGTCTAATTCAACAAATTAAAATCCCAAAGCTTTTCCAGTTGCCGTTCACCGCCACATCTAAACGGTCTCGATATGCGCTTAACCGAACCGATCACAGAAACAACTATACCGACGACTCAGAAGGCACTGAAGAAAACTGATGAATTAGCCAAAACAACCGTTGCAACCAAGGACGACTACAGACAGTCGCAAATGTATGAAAAAAATAACATCTCACGATTCCATAAATGGAACAAGACAACAAATCCCGTAGCAGAATTTCAACCTCAGATGATCAACTTTCCAACGGCCTCTGAAACAGAGACATCTCATGCCGCTGTATTGGTGCTTGTCCTTGGTACAAAAAACTACTTTCCTCTCCTTTTAAAATACTTCACTTTCGGTCTACTTCAACAATTTAACCACATTAATTGTAAAACTCAAAACTGCATTCTGGAAATTAAATTTAGAAAAAAGTTCAGAAACATTAAACCACAAACTCTTTAAAGCACAGTTCTCGAAAATAATGGGACTTCTTACTGTACCCCTTATGTCCCTCCTCTCCTTTCAACTCGCACTGTTGGTTCTTTGAGCTCATCCTGGTTACAGTAACTCAAATTATGGCAACAACAAACTATTTTTCTAAAAAAAAATTTTTTTTTTGGGAAATCTTTAATTGAAATAACAAGTAAAATAAAAAAAACCGCTTGAAAAATGTTTCAACCCTTATTCACTCCATGAAACGTCGAACTTCAAAAAAATGTCTACTAAAAAAAATAAGAAAAAATTTATAAGCGAAGAAAAAGATGTGAACAACCCGTAAAAAAAAAATTTTTTTTTTTACATATTCAATTTATAGGTATTTTACTGGGTCTGTGTTTGGTATCGACCATATTGATTGTCAGCATCAAATACATTGTAAAGTGGAAATCGAACCGAGATGGAATGGACACAAATAGAAACTTAGATTTCCCAGGTGTTGACTATCAGTATAATGTCGACAGTAACCCACAACACTATTTTCAATCAACTTATCGGCATCGGCAAAATCCAGTGCTATTGTTAAATCGAAATTGGAATCAGTGGTTTTGAAAATTCTTCTAGTAATCTCAATGAAATCCATATTAATTGGTCTGTACATATATGTAACTTGTTTTTTTTTTTTCTTTATTTTGTAGACTAACGGTCTTTCTTAAAGTACCAATAAACTAAAAACCAAGAGTGTGGTGCCGACGAAATGCTCATAACAATTAATTAAATCTGAGAAAATGTTTTGAAGTCATTTTATATCTCTTCAAGTTATATGCTGAACATACTGCTAAAAAATACAATTATTCAGCTTGACTACAAAAAAGAGATTACTCATTTTTTATATTTTACGAATAAAACGAAATAACATCCAATTTACAAATCATACATATTTTTGATTTAGCAGCTGCATCATAACTGGTCGGTTTAGTTCCGGTTAGTTGATTACATAATATTATACATTTGACACTTGTTATTTTAAGTGTTCATCGCAAAATTTTTCCTTTTCTTCTTCATTTCTCCATCTCTTTTTTCATTTTTTTTCTTACATCATTAAACAAAAAAGATCAAATTTTCAATAAAAATTAACCTTATTTGCCCCTTGCCTACAATAGCCAAATCCCGCATTAGTTACCATTTCTGCCCAGAGGGGGAAAGACGAAACCAAAACGTGCGTACCCAAAACATTTATGTACAGAGAAGATAAGTAGCTGCTGAAATCTCTCGACCACTGAAAAAATTACGAGCGTTTCAAGGACACTAACGTACCGTTTATTTTCACCACCAAACACATAAAAATAAGGCATTCATATGTTATCTGATTCTTGAGAGATTACGTAAGCCATCATCTACCAACAGCTTCTTTCTCTCCCAAAAAATCATTCTCATTCCTTCAATTTAGCAGGAAATATTTTTAATAACTTCAGAGTAGTTTCACAAACAAATATGCTTGAAGAAAACATTTTGCCCCTGATAATATTCGACAACAATTAATCATTTGTTCTGTACGCAACATTTGTTGAAATGCTAGTGCAGCTTCAAACCATGAAAACAACTATTTCCCAAAAAACCTAATACCTAGCACACCATAAATCAAATAGCCTACAACTTCTTCTTCACTAACATCCAGCAAATAATCTAGCGATCATGTAAATTCTTTAATCACTTTTAATCCCCCTTTCATCTTCACTCTTTACCTTTTCTTCCAATCCTCCTGTTTTCCAAGTCCTCAAGTGTTTACTCTAATCAATCAACTTTTGTAAAAATAATCAAAAAGCAATTTTAAAAAATCCCATAAGTAAAGCCAATTATGGGGAAGCAAAAACTTTATGTTCTTTAGACAATGGAAAAAAATAAGAAACATATCTGCAGTATATCAGCAAATCTGAAATCATGTTGGCCAACAAAAAAAAAAGAAACTTATAAATGACCATTTTCCAATAATGATTCTCCCTATTATTTACATCATGAAGTGCAATAATTTCAAATGCCCAACCCACCCAGCAAAGTTGGCAAAATTAATAACTTCTTCTAAAACTAAAAATAAAAAAACTTTTAAAAAGGGCAATAAAGAAATAAAATAACTTTTGTCAACTAGTAGTGCACTTACCAATTATGAGATTTCTACAGCGTAACTCGCTATTCTTCGTCTACGAGAGTACAGTTGACCTCAAAAATGGAGTCTCTGTTCCTCTTCCAATTACTCAAATTGGTTAAAATATTATCAGTTTTTTTCTTCAAAAGATAAACCCAGCCACACTTTTATAGCTTTTTGACAATTAACGAGCTAACAAAATAGATAGATTTTAACAGATGCTGGTAATTTTGTTAAGCCCATTAGAACAACTTAAAGTTTTGTGTCAGTTATATATATTCTACCACTGAACGTCAACAAAGACTTATCATAAAAACGTTCATTTTTTTTCTCCACCTGTTCCTTAGGTTTCTCAACTGAAAAAACGATGTCGTCATAACGGTTCAGTTTATAAAGTTACCGTTATAGGTGCCATGCTGTTATCACAACAAATGGAGGGTATCTCAGCAATTCTACTCGAAAAGGCGGAGCCAACTTTCAGTTAATTCCGCCCACCAAATAACGCACTGTATTTACAACCCTACAGACATTAAAAAAATTGAAAAAAATACATACATAAATGACGCATACGTTTGTCAAATTTCTAAACCTTTCAAATACCTGTCACAAAAGAATAAAGACTGCAACAGCTGGAAATTAAGGAAAAAAAAATCTAGTAAATTTAAAACACCCATAAAACCAGAAATCTCAACTCCCGCTGCTGACTTTAGCAATCACAAAACATATATAGTTCAATTAATACCACCTGTCATAATTGTTTTTGATAAATCTACTTGTTAACGTTTTTTCTTATTTCCAGCCCCTTTCTCATTCGGCTCTAACAATGTGTTCCTTTTTGTTTAAACATCAACAGTGTTTGTTGGTTGAATGCCGATAGGCATCCAAAGATGTGTCAAGAAAAGAAATGAACAGTCTTGAGCAACACTCTTCTACAGATTTAGAATAAGAGAGGTAAGCGCCCAGAAACAAAACCACTGACACATGCACCCCGCTGCCCCCGCTATGGCCCCTGCAATGACGACCTCGTCCTGATGACCCAATTCTTTCATAAAACGACTACTACACACCAAATGCTGCTGCTAAAATTTCATCCTTTCAAAACTTTCGCCTACCGACCAAACCATTTGGACAGACGGTGGCGACGACTTTTCGACTTGTCCGTCAACCGTAGGCGTCAATATTTTTTCACACTAGAAAATCCCTTGACGCTAACTTTACTTTTATTACCACTTGTTATTGAACACCCTATTAGTGTCAAACTGTAACAAACCACCGACTCTATTTCCTGTACATTTGATTCCTCTACTTTCTATTATCATTTTACTTCCAGTAAATTTCTGAACATCATTGACCCTACCACTGGCCTTATCTGGTTTTTCCGCTTATTTTTTTCTTCACTTACCATAAAAATCTAACCTTTTGTCACCTCATCTAAAGCGAATTAAATTCACAACAAGCTGTCCTCAACAAAGGGTGTATCAATGAAAGTGTCCACTACACTGTTACTTCATTATTTTTAAACTGACGTATATCTAAAGATTTCCTCTCTTTCGTTAATTATTCATCCAACTTCAAGAATAACATTCAAATAGCATCATTCTGTTCGAAAAAATTTTTTATTCATCTTAATCCCCTCAATGTTTCTGAAGTATAAGCTAAAAAAACAAACTTTAAATCTGTTACACTACGGGAGACCTTTGAAGCCGAAAAGATTTATTCTTGAGATTCTTACCTATATTTGAATCTCATATATAAAAACAACCTTTTTCATTCGCTCACCTTATTGTTTATCTCATATTAGATAAAAATGACAAAATATTTTATAACTACCTTAGTTTTAATTATATTCACCATTGTTAATTCTTTTGCTTCTAAATTATTCACTGATCCATCATTTAACTGTCCTAAGACAATTGACAAATGGTGTAATTGTGAAGAACACTCTATCGGGTTCTATATACAGTGTGCAAAAATTCCACTAGACCTGGTTACAATTGTTGATGCAGTCACGGATTTACGTATCGATCAATTGACAATAACACAAGTGAATTGGAAGGTAAAGATTTTTTCTGAGAACCTAACAGTTTTGCCGGCCTTCACCAATACTAAAATATTTCCTCTTTTAATTTTTTTTATTTGCTTTAATCACTGATTAATTGGTAATCAGTAAGTTGAGATAACCTGTGAGACCCAACAACAACACATGTCCAGAACTGGTCAATCAATCCGAATAAAAAATTTTATCAACTCATCTCTTTTTTCCATTCTTTTTTTATTCTACCAAAAAAATTCTTCTTTTATCAACATTCTTAATCATGCTAAAAAACGGAAATTTAGTTCAGAAAGAAAAAAATAATGACGATAAAAAACACGATTAATGCAAAATTAAGAAATTAAAAAGATTTTAAGCGATATGATGATTAAAAAACAAAACCAATGACCCTGAAAAACAATTTATACATTAACAGATGTTTAATTCAAAAATATCTTCTAAAAAAAAGCCAAAAGTAAAATATTAAACCAATGTTTTTTTTTTTTTTTTTTTTGTAATTGACGACAAATAAGTTAAAACCTACTTTCTCCGAAACCCCTTCCAACTCCAATCGATAAACACCACAAAACGATAAAAGTCATCTTTCAACAAAAACCCAGTGAATTACCTTTGAAATGCCTTTCCCTTCTGCTTCCACCTCCTTTCCTTTGTTCAGTGCCTCAAATTTTAAAAGTCACTGTCTTATGCACTACGATTTCCAATTAAAAAAGATTTATTCATTGAAAAAAAAAAGAGGAATGCACAATTTTCTGCAACCAACTGGCTGTTTCCAAATGGTATACATTGACAACCGTTGTGTCTGAAATATTCTAAAAGCTTGTAAAATAATTTTCTAGCCAATTATCGCAACAAACCCAACTAGTTTTTAATTTATAGTTTTCTTTTTCTACCATCTGATCCTAACGGTCACTTCGTCCGTTCAGAAACTTAGCAAAGGTAATTTTGTTTGGAATCTAAAAAGTATTAGCTACTGCAGAAGTATATGTTGAAATATTGTAATTTGAAAATAATAATCTTTTCTTCCACTTCTAACAACATTAACCTCTGAATAAACCTCAGCAAGTTTTAACAGTAAACCAGAAAAAAAAAAGATCAACCGTAATAAAAAAACGGGAATTCAGAACAGATAGTTTTAATATAACAAATAACGTTTCAAACAAAAGTATAACCCGCCTGATCGGAATCTTTTGTAAGAATTAGGCCCAACTTTTACCACCAGTAAAACCTCAATTTACTTATCCTAATCAGCTAAAATTTTCTAATTATTTTACCAATATTTTTCCGCTAAAAACAATCGTTGTTCCAAAAGTTTCAAAATAGTCTGAAAAAATTCAATGTATCGGCACAACCAATTTAATTTTTAAAATTTTACAAACGATAATTTCCGGCACGCATCCTCCAAAATAATATTTCTTATTTATTGAAGTTTATTAATCTTTAGTCATTCCAATGCTGCCTAACTAAATGCATACTTTCTTGGTTTTTTCCTTTTTCATGAAATTTACCTCCTTTTCGGCAAAACCTTAGTATTCATATATTAAAAATTGTTATCGTATCATTTAAAACGATTAAAAAACTTTAGAACAAACAAACAAAATTGAAAAATTCATATTTGCTATGCAAAATAGTATATTAAATAAGTCATAAAAAATCACCATTATTATTTTTTTTAGTCTAAAAAATCATTTATAAACATCTTTCTTAACCCCAGTTGAATTGCAGTAAATTATTCTGTCTCATAACTGCCGCATTTAAAAATATATCTATTTTTTCCACAAAATAATGAATATTGGAGATACTCAAGTAAAAAAACTATTAACTTTGACAGATCAACAGATCATCTTCTCGGCAACTAAGTTAACACTGAAAAATGAAAAAGCGCTCATAGGTTCACCACAAAAGGCACAAAGCAAACCTTAAAAACCGCTTAGATTTTTAGCAGTATGATTCAAAAATTGATACAAGTTATTGCCACTAATCGATTCTTATTGCCACCATTAAACAATCCAAAACCTGTTATAGCAAAGATGCCCCAACATTTTAAATAAAAAATTAAGTCAAATTAAATTTACACTAAATTCTTAAGAAAAATTAAAAAAACATTATTTCAGGAAATTAGACGATTGCCAAAAGCTGAAATTAGATCAATACGACTGAACAACTGTGGAATCAAAACAGTAGCACCAGATGCTTTCACCAACTTTTCAGACCATCTGGAAGAACTGAACCTGTCTGGGAACGAAATCACAACAATACCTCAACTTGACAATCTAGCAAGACTAATAACTCTGGACTTCAGTTACAATAAAGTAAGTTCCACCAAACAATGCCGGTTCATAAATGGAACTGAGAAACTAGCAAAGAAGCCCTAGCTAAGTTGCAAATATTAGCATTTACAACCAGAAAGATACCTAAATGTCAGTAAACTGTAAATGAATTTCGTTTACTTCAAAAAATAAACAAGGTAAAAAATTTTATTTTCAGATTACCGAAATACCCGAAAATTGTTTTAGCAATGTTAAGCTGTTAAAAAACTTGAAACTGCAAGGCAACAGCATTTGTACTCTACCAAGGTAAGCAGAAATTTGATAACAAAAAATAACAACAAATGCAAAGACTAGTAAACATCCAGAAAATAACACAAGTATTAGACATCTATTAAGAAGTTAGTTAAAGCAAATAAAATCCGGAATGTTTTTCCCAAAGTATAACAAATATATAAGCATACCAAAAATGTTCATCCTCTTATGCTAAACAAGAAACACTATTACAGTAAAAAATTGCTTTCTTTTCATAATGGTCCTGTTTGTTCTGTAATCGAACCTCATTTTATTAATACTTTTAAAAATATTTAGTTAAACTACTTAGGTAGGTAGACACACTCTTTTTTTTTCCTTCTTATTCACACATTTTTTGCTTAAAAGGTGTTTTAACAAGACTTAAAAAACAAATAATACATTTGGGATAGTATTCCTCTGGAAATCTTACAATTTTCAAATGAACTACTGCAAATCTTTTAAAATGACTACTATCAAAAATAATGATCTAATTAAAACAAACTATTAGAAGCCTCAATAACCAATATCAACTTCTAATTACGCAAAAGTCAACTGTAGGTCAGTTTAATAATCATGTTGCACTAAATCCTATTATTAATTCTATTACCCGAGCACTCCTGCTCATACTGGGTCTTTAACACCAACCAAAAAAAAAAAAAAATAGTTGTTCATCTCAAAAAAAAAAAAAACACTCAAAATTTTCACCAAAAAAACCACACAATTCAAAAAAGAAACTAAAATAAAAAAATGTACGACTGCAGTCTATGCGAAGCTACGATATGCAAAGATATTTCAAACTAAAAAAAAACCAGAACTAAACGAAGTGTTTTACAGGTTGGCACTGAATGAAATCAAAGAAAAGCTGGAATTACTCGACTTGAGCAACAATTGCTTGAATCATGTTCCAGCTCAAAACCTCCGGAATTCGTTAAATATGCAGTATTTAGACCTATCTCGAAACAGTATTAGTGAAATAGCAAACTTTGAATTGATCAATCTCCCTCAACTACAAGTAAAAAAAAAGTTCTCATTGTAACTGATAACGGCATCAAAATCTATGAATCTAATATTGCTTTATTCAGGAACTGCGAATGCAGCGAAACAATTTACAACGGATAGCACCAATGGCTTTTATGAATGTACCGAAACTGCAGCATTTATATTTAAACGAAAACCTTCTATCAAACTTCGAGTCTATTCGCATGTTTCAAGTTTTTAAGAATCTCGAAATTTTAGACCTTTCAAGAAACCAACTGAAAGAGGTAAAACACCAGCTTCAGTTAGTAATCTAAACTTTAAAAAATTAAAAAAAATTTCTTTAAGTAACTAAAAATACACCTAAAACTGACAGCTGTCTAGTAACTAAAAAAAATTAAAACGTAAAACCCTCTTTAAACATAAAATTGCAGCTTCCATTGCTGAAAGAATTGCCAATGATCAAGGAAATACGGGCAGACTTCAATCAAATAGGAAAAATTGATACGCTTACGTTCAGTTCAAATCCAAGCTTAAAATTGATAAATCTACAAGTAATTTTCAATAAACAAGTAATTAAAATTCTATTAATAAGTGCATCAGGTAAAACAATTGTTCTACCAGCTTTACTACAAAGTATTAAAGAAATAAGTTTAAAAAAAAAAACAGATCTTTCTAGACTTTAAAAAGATAAAGAAAATCTTTAGTTTCACGCAGAAATAGACTGGAAACTCAGACGTTAAAATTGCTTGAAGCTTTCTTTTTTAGTTGTTCAAAGAATAAGTCGAAGTTAGAGTAAAAACAAAAAATTTTAAAAATTTACAATTTTAGAATAACCAGATATCGTCATTATCACGAAACGGTTTTGACTCTTTGGAACAGCTGAATGTTCTACTTCTGAACAATAATTTACTTGCTAGCATAGGTAACTGTTGATACACTAATACCAGTAAAACAACAAATCCAATAAAATTGAACAATAAACCTTCTAATAATAAAGACGTTTGAAAAATTGTGCTTAAAAACCTATTCTGCACTGATCAAATTTGAACATCTTTTACATTTATTGACACTGACTATAAAACTGATGTTTACCTTCTTCTTTTTATTCCTCACAACAAAACTGAAAAACCTTTACAGAACGTGGTATGTTAGACGGCATGAGAAACCTACAACAGTTAAGCTTAAGTAACAATTCGCTAATCAACGTCAGCGATAAATCCTTCAGCTCAGTTCCGCTTCTAACTTCACTTGACCTATCCAACAACAAAATAGAGTCGCTATCAGCCAATTTGTTCGATCCTTTGACCCAGCTATTTTGGCTTGATCTTTCCAACAACAAAATCGTTTCAATAGAAAAAGGAACATTTAAAAATCGAATTGCTCATGTTCTTCTTCACGGTAAACACCATTTGCTGTAATACATCTATATTTTTTTTTTTTTTAACAACAGGTCATAACATATTACAGATAACTAACTGCTAAACCAGTCTAGTAATTTATCCGACCTGTGTTTTAACTATAGTTGCTCACAATTATTCACATTCTTGATCAGATGTTGGCAAGAAAAAGTTTATTTTAAAGATCTGTAAAAATCTTTGCTGTTTCAGGTAACCATCTTGTTTGCGACAAAAATACTGAATGGCTAGTTGATTATCTGGTTGCCAATCACGTACGAACATTTCTTCCGTTTCAATCAGAAATTGTTTGTACAGAACCAGAAAAAAATGTTGGTGTTCGATTAAAAGATTTGATGATTAGAAAATCAAACGAAACAATGAATGTACAACGTCAACTTAATCATCCACCAACAATAAATCAAAATTTACTTCAAAAAATAATATCCGATAAATTCAATACCGGTTACCAAAATAGTCTACCAACTCCGGTAAGTTTCTTTTATTACCAACCCGTAAAATAAACGCATTGTAAATGTAACAACTTCATTTTTTTTTGATCACATGAAAACGGTAACCTTTAAAAAAATACAGTTCCGTACTCCATCGTTGAATAGAAAAAAAAAACCTACATTTTTGAAAAGCTGTTACCACTAAATTACATCAATCTGTAAAATATTTCTAAAAACCTAAACGATAATATATAGTACTGTGAAAAAAAAAGAAGAAAAATAATTTAATAGCGCCAATAATTTCTCTAACAAATCAATTGAAATTCTAAAAAACAAACGAAGTCCCTAAACCTCCAGACAGACAACAGCAAATAAACAAATATTACTGTTAAAAATATCAAATTATAGCTAGAGAAGATTATAAAAAACTCTTCTAATAATTTTAGCCCCAAAATTCTCAGAGAACTCAAGTTGCAATATCGGACGTCGTCAATGCAATCAGAACAATGCCAAACGCCGCTGTAAATATTCCTGGTCTAGGCAACATCAACCTTAGTCAGGTAGCTCTTATAAAAAATCAAACAGGAAAAAAAACAGCAACAACTAATCAAATAATTCTCTGGGAAAAAGTTCAAATCAGAAAGTTCAAACCTTGAAGAGATTAGTGTATTAAGAAAATAAATATTTTTAAAACACTCACGAAATTTTCTAAAAGAAGACTCCATTTGAATTTAGTGCTTTTTGAAAAATATTTCACAAGACGACGCTAAAACTGTCAATTTAGAACCTGTTATATGAACCTATCAAATTGCCAATAAAAATATAAAAATTATCTGCAGTACTGTTATTTGTAGCTTCCACCAAGTGTAATTAGCTATGTGCTTCGTGGAGGACAAATCCCAGGTGTACCAAAAGAAACCTTAGACAAAGTGATCGCCAGTTACGCCGAGAGAATTCAATCTGCATATAAAGCTCAAAATGGGAATACTATTGGTAAAACAATAATACTGCAAGAGAACAACAGCAGCAGTAGCAGCAGCTACACAAATGCAGTCATTAATCTTGACGATCTACAAAAACTTGTGAGTTTTTTCTACTAAATTCGATAAATAAATCCATCAAATTTAGTATTTTTTAAGTCGCTAGCGTCTCCGTTCCTCTGATATTGGACAAAATAAACCAATTAAAAGAACTTGAGCAAAAAAGACAAAAGTTCCTTGCAGAGTGGAGAAAGCAATGAAAGCTCGTCAAAATCTTCGGATGCATCAATAACTACCGACCTAACTGACAGTAAAACGTTGATAAATACCATACGCTTGCCACCACAACTTTTACAACTGCTTAAACTGCTACCACCAAATTATGATATTACAAAAATCCCAAACGAAGTCATGCAAACAGTATCCAAAAATGAGATCCCCGATTTTGCCCTGCTTCCCGCAGATCTTCAACAACATTTGATGAATAATATACATAATGTGGTGAACGCTCTAGCTGATAAGGTAACTTCAACTAGCTGCTGCCATTCTTTCCTCACAATTGAGCCCTTATCTTTATTTTTTTCTTTCTATCTCTGATTTACAAACATTACTTTACTTAATTGACAAATTTTACTAAACGCAACTTTAAACATTTAGCTCTATATTGAAAATTCAAAACTATTACGATACTGACTTTTCAAAAATACATGAATATCTATTAACTGGAGGCAGGAAACTGAATCAAGGAATGCAAAAGCTTTTGTTACAAATGCTATAAGTTCTCCTTTTTTTGCAGCAAAATGTCACAATCGATGATATCCTTAAAAAGTTACCAAAATTCGACCGCCCTGCTGCTCCAACATTTGCGCCGTACAGTATCGATGAGGTCCGAAATGATTTGATACACACAAAGAATAAACTGGAAAAACAACGTCGAATTCATCTTTACACAGAACTTTTATTAAGTATGCCTTCTTCAATGTTCTTTTTCGCTTAAAAATGTTATTCTTGTCAGCAAAAAAATTCCATTTAGGCTTTGTTGGTGCAATCTCAACCATCGTCATTATTGTTTTGTGTATCTATACAAAGCGAAAACGTCAAGCTCAGCTCGTAAAAGGTGTGGAAGCCGATTCACTGGT